AACAACGGTGCCTGAACGAAGCATATTTGTATACCTAACCCTTAACTGTACCCCACAATATCATAATAAAAAATATTGATTATTTAAAAAAAAAACAAACCACACAATTCCATTCAAAATAGCCACACACAAAAAATCAAATACCCTGGCGTCTTCCTCACCAGAGATGTGAAAGACCTTTATGATGAAAACACTGCTCAAAGAAATCAAAGATGACATGACAAATGGAAAAATATCCCATGCTCATGGATTGGAAGAATCAACATTGTTAAGATGTCCTTCCTACCCAAGACAATCTACAGATTTAACACAATACCAATTAAATTACCAGCAGCATTCTTCTCAGACCTGGAAATGACAGTACAGGAATTCATATGGAAACATAAATGACTACAAATAGCCAAAACAATCCTCAGCAAAAACAAACAAACAAAAAACAAAGCTGGAGGTATCATACTCCCAGACTTTAGAATTTATTATAAAGCTACAATAATCAAAACAGCCTGGTATTGGTATAAGAATAGGCATATAGACCAATGGAACAGAATAGAGATTCCAGAAGCAAAACCTCAATTTCTCAACCAACTCATCTTCGACAAAGCCTCCAACAGCAACCACTGGGGAGAGGAGAACTTATTCAGTAAATGGTGTTGGAAAAACTGACCACATGCAGAAGGCTAAAAACAAGACCCCTACCTATCACCACACACAAAAATCAACTCTAAATGAATCAAAGACCTAAACATAAAACCTCAAACTATAAGAACCTTAGAAAATGCAGGACACACCCTAATGGAAATTTGAACTGGCAACCGATTCCTGATCAAAACCCCAAGTGCCCACACTGTAAGAGAGAGGATAGACAAGTGGGACCTCATCAAACTGACAAGCTTCTGCAAAGTCAGAGAAACCACCAAGAGAGCAGGGAGACAGCCCACAGACTGGGAAAAAATATTTGCCAACTCTATGTGTGACAAAGGCCTAACATCTAGGATCTACAAGGAACTCCAAGGGGCCGAAAAGGAAAAAACTAACAACTCCATTATAAAATGGGCAAAAGATATGAATAGACACTTCTCAAAAGAAGACATACGAGCAGCCAACAGATACAGAAAAAAATGCTCAGCCTCACTAGTTATCAAAGAAATGCAAATTAAAACCACACTGAGATACCACCTAACTCCAGCCAGTATGGCCATCATCAATAACTAAAAAAACAACAGGTGCTGGAGAGGATGTGGTGAAAAGGAAATACTTATACACTGTTGGTAGGAGTGTAAGCTAGTACAGCCTCTGTGGAAAACAGTGTGGCAATTTCTAAAAGATCTAAAAATCGACCTTCCATATGACCCTGCAATCCCCCTACTGGGAATATACCCAGAGGAACTCAAGTTCTATGAAAATAATACCTGCACATGTATGTTTATTGCAGCATTGTTTACAATAGCAAGAACATGGAACCAACCATGCTGCCCATCAAAGAGGACTGGATATAAAAAAATGTGGTACACATACACGATGGAATATTATGCAGCCATAAAGAGGGACAAAATTATGACCTTCATGCAACTTGGATGGACTTAGAGTCTATAATACTGTGTGGTCTATCACAGGAACAAAGAACTGAGTATCACATGTTCTCACTCATAAGTGGACCTTGAATTTTCATAGAACTATAAGAAAAGGATGGGCAGTAGCGGGAAGCTGCCGGGGGGAGAGGGAGGAGGTGGGATTGGCAGCGGTAGGAATCTGCCGGGGGGAGGCTGGGGGCACATCTCATCAACAAGGGGACCTGCATAATGAACATTTGTATACCTAACCCTGAATTGTACCCCACATCTTTAAAATAAAAAATGAAAAGAAAAAAAAACCCAAAATAAACCCCCAAACAACAAAAAAGAAAGTTATTCTCTTTCTTTGTTCTATACTGTGTTCTTTGGAAAGAAATCTCCTTCCGTTGCCCACACTTAAAGAGTAGAAATTGAGGTTGGACTCTCTCCATAAATTATTTGCTATTATTCTGCATGGGAGATTTATGTTTAACTTTTTAAAAATTGACAGTTTTCTAAAGTGGTTGTACCATTTTATACTTGCACAAGCAGTGTCCAAGAGTCTGAGTGCTCCTCATCCTCACCAACACTTGGCATTGTCAGTCTTTTAAATTTTAACCATTTTAGTTGTGACATGGTATCTCTTTGTAGTTTTTAATTTACATTCATGATGACTAATAACGTTGAGCACCTTTTCATGTGCTTATTGGCCATTCTTTGTGTGTGTGTGTGTGTGTGTGTGTGTGTGTGTGTGTAATATCTATTTAGGTCCTTTTCCATAATTTTGATTTGGTTTCTTGTCCATTTATTATTGAATTGAGGAGTTATTTGTATATTCTAGATACAGTTGCTTGTTCAGTGTGTGCATGAAAATATTTTCTACCAGTCTGTAGCCTGCCTATTGATTTTCTTATCTGTGTCCTTTGGTGAGATGGATTTAAGATCTTAGTGAAGAGATTTGGGGACCTTCACCCATCTGATGATGCTAATTTTTATTGGTGTGCTGGTAGACATAAAGATTATAACCTTTCTTTCTTTTTTTTTTTTTGGAGTTGAAATCTCACTTTGTTGCCCAAGCTGGAGTGCAGTGGCACGCTCATGGCCACCCCAGCATCGACCTGCTGAGCTCTGGCGATCCTTACCACCTCAATCTTCCAAGTAGCTGGAACTACGGGCACGCACCACCACTCCTGGCTAATTTTTGATTTTTATTGTAGAGATGAGGTCTTGCCAAGTTGCCTGGGCTGATTTCGAACCCATGGGCTCAGGCAATCCACTCGCCTTGGCCTCCCAAAGTGCTGGGAATACAGGCTGAGCCACCGAGCCTGGCCATAACCTTTCTTTTCAACCTTATGTTGCCTTAAAATAAAAATTTCAAAGGAAGCTGAAGACTTTTCATAGTAACAATGATTGTGTTGCTGGGTATGAAGGTTCCAGATATAACCGTGTGGGAAGATCGTGCTGTCCTTTGCCAATTATGCCTTCTTCTTTTCCAAGAAGTGTTGGCATAATCGTGAATGATACAATGCAAGAGGGGATATATGCGACATGCTGTTCAAGTCAAGTCCTATAGACACTGAGGAATCCAGCCTGGGAAACAGTAACAACAGCAGCTGCTGCTAGTATTTTCTCAAAGATTTGATGACAGGGTGCATACATATTAACAGCAAAAGGAGAGAAGCCAGACTCTTGTAGAGAAGAAGGAATTCCCCTTAGGTAAAGTGGCATCATGTAGTATTCAATATGGACTCATAAAGTAGATTTGGAGAGATGCTTTCCAGCTTGACTTGGAATAACAACAGTAGTTAAAGAACAAGGTTTCTCTGTTAGGTTCACATGTGTACTCATTTACCAGCCAACTCGGACACATCAGCTCCCTGAATTGATGCTTGGTTCTAACACTGATAATCATCACCTCTAGTCTCACATTTGCTTTTGTATTTGTGATAAGGTTTGATTTTCATAATAATCACAGCTCTAAAGTTGAAAAGCTTGTGTAGTCTCTAATTTGCACTAAGAAAATACCGGCTTCTTGGTTGACTACTGTCCATTTTTAATTATTTGGAATAATATTTAACTGTAGGGAAAAGTATATGGAAGATATTTGTATACTTACTCTTTATATCTAAGCAGTTCTGAACTGAAAAAAAGACCCCTCGATACTTTCATTTGTTTAACTGTGATTTCTGAATAGTAATGGCTCTGTTCTCCTTGATTTCCATGGGTTCCAGTTCTATTCCAGAGTTCTCCATTTGTTTACTACTCTTGATCCCACAAAAATAAAAAAAATAAAAAAAGAATTACTCAAGGAGGAAATGCCCAGGGCTTAGAGTTACGTATGGATAAAAAAATAGAAGAGTAAGAGCTACTTGTAAAGAGGAAAACAAATAAGGCTGTCAGGAAGACTTAAGAGTCTATGGTGTTTCTTGGCACAATTTTAACAATTCCAAAATGTGAAAAAGTTTGTACATTAAAACACAGCTCTAATCTTTTTTTTAAAGTTTTCTCTTGAAACAGAATATGATTTTTTTTTTTTTTATTCAGACAAAACTCTATCCGAACGTAGCTGTCATCTTTTGCTAACTGCTCATTCTCTTGCCATTTCAGGTAAACCTGTTTGTGCTGCTCTCTGTGGTTTGTGTCCTCCTAAATCTAGCTGGATTTATCCTAGGCTGCCAAGGGGCCCAATTTGTATCCAGCGTACCCAGGTGTGATCTGGTAAGCTTTCCTAAAACATCATTGTGCATCTGGGCCAGCTCTGGCCGTCTGGAGTTCTTGGAGTGACTTGTAGCATTTAGCATCAGGGAAGAGTCCTAAAGTGAAATCTTAAGTTTGTGAAAAGAAGTGGGAGAAACAAAACAAAGAACTGCCTGCTAATTATTTCACCCGGGTTGTCAATTACTTTTTTTCAAAGCAGGAACTAGCCAGCATAACCTGAATACCACAGTAGTATAATGCACCATTAGTTAGTTAATGGACGGATCAGGTGTCCACAATCAGTCTACTTCTGCCTTTATCTAAAGAGAAAAAGTGGATTTTATCAGAATACAGGTCAGAAATCCTTTATTTGAAAGCTTAGGAGGCCAGGTGTGTGTCAGCATTTGGAGTTTTTCTAATTTTAGGAGACACGTATTGTGCATATACCATTTATTATGTAGCATGCCAGTGGAGTCTGGGACACCAGGCTATAATCACAACTTTGGATTTTCAGAGCTTTCTGGATTTCAGAATTGTGAATAAGAGGTTGTGAACCTGTATTATCTCTGAACTTTTTAAAAAAAATATTTAATTATGGTAAAATATATGCGAGATTTACCACTTGAACCATTTTTAAGTATGTAGTTTAGTAGTGTTAAGTATAGTCACATTGTTGTACAACCAATTCAAGAACTCTTTACATTTTGCAAAACTGAAACTCTGCACATGTTAAACAATGGTTCCGTATCTCCCAATCCCTGTCAACTACCATTCCACTTTCACTTTTCTGACTTTGGCTACGCTAGGCACCTCATACAAGTGGAATCATGCAATAATTGTCTTTTTGTGACTGGCTTATTTCACTTACTATAATGTTCTCAAGGTTCATCCTTGTTGTAGCATGTGTTAGAATTCCCTTCCTTTTTAAGACTGAATGATATTCCATTGTATATGTGACACGTTTTGATTATCCATTCATCTGTTGATGGATATTTAGGTTGGTTCCACTTCTTGGCTATTGTGAATAATACTGTAGTGAACATGGGTGTGTAATGCTTCTTGGAGAGCCTGATTTTAATTCTTTTGGATATATACCTAGACATGGGATTGCTTGATGATATGGTAATTCTATTTATAATTTTTTGAGGAATGTGTTTTCCATAGTGACTGTACCACTTTGAAGAATTCTTTGAAGAATTCTACCAGCAAATTCTTCACCAACACTTGTTAGTGTCTGCTTTTTTTTTTGAGTCAGAGTCTTACTCTGTCGCCAGACTAGAGTGCAGTGGCACACTCCTGGCCACCGCAGCCTTGACCTCCTGGGCTCCGGCGATCTTTCCTCCTCAGCCTTCCAAGTAACTGGAACTACAGGCACGCGCTACCATGCCTGGCTAATTTTTTTTGATTTATTGTAGAGATGAGGTCTCGCCAAGCTGCCCAGTCAGGTCTCAAACCCACAGGCTCAGGCAGTCCACTCACCTCGGCCTCCCAAAGCGCTGGGATTACAGGCTGAGCCACCAAGCCCGGCCATGTCTGCTTTTTGATAGTAGCCATCCTAAAGGGTTGAAGGTTTATCTCATTATGGTTTTGGTTTACATCTCTCTTATGATTAGCGATGCTGACCATCTTGTTGACCATCTTTTCATATGCTTGTTGGCTGTTTGCGTGTCTTCTTTGGAGCAATGTCTATTTAAGTTCCTTTCCTTGTGCATTTATAATCAGGTTATGTTTTTGTTATTGATTGAGTTGTAGAAATTCTTTATATATATTCTGCATACTATATATATGGTTTGCATTGAATATATTCTTAATTAAAATTTTTTCCACCAACCAACTCTGTGATTATTTCTGATGATATAATTGTAAAAAGTTCGGCAAACCTTGAAAGTGTATGATAGCACTTACAAATTATTTTCATTCCCACTATTCCGGAATAGCACAGTTAACCATTTGGCCATGTTCTATGTATCTTATTATGCACAAAGACACACGTAGTGGGATCATGTTATAATCAGCAGGGTCATATTATAATTGATGTATTTCATTGGGGAAGCTATTTGCAAATTAGATCTATTTGGGGGAGGGAGGGCTTTCTCCCATTTTCCTCTCTGCCTACTTCAATTCCATAAAAACAAGGAAGGAATTTTATTTCATAAAGTTTTAATGCTCATATAATCTTACACAAATAGGTATGAGGTGGGGTTATTAATAATTTATTTTTTTAAGAATGGGATATATATTATATCCTTCCCCGCATCTTTTCTCACTTAAAGATGCATCTCTTAGAGATATAGTAGAAACAGATCTAACACTCTTGTTTTCTTCTAATAAGTTCGTTCACTGTTTTGTTTAATCTGCTTTGACTTGAGTTTTGACCAATAGAAACAATTCTGCCATGAATATCATTCTGCATATCCTCCTGAGGGCTTTAGTCCTAAGTGTACGGGGAGTTCCCAGGGAAAGGGACTGTTCTCAGCAGTGTATCTTTTCTTCTGTGTGACTCATATATTACTACATATTCAGCCATCTTAAGAGTCTATTTTTGAGAAGTTGAGGTAAAAGTTACAGTGAAAGGCACATGTCTTAAGTGTGTAGTTCACTGAGTTTTGACCAGCGTATACACTCATCTTCATCAATGTATACACCCGTATTATACCCTACACAAGATCTAGAACGTTTCTATCACCCTAGAAAGTTCTTTGGTATTTCTTTTCAGGCAGTCTCTGGTCTCTGATAGGCAACCACTGTTCCTGTTTCTTTCACCATAGGTTAGTTTTGCTAGTTCTTGAACTTCAGATAGCTAGAGTCATAGTGTGCGAACCTTTTTGTGTCTGATACATTGCTCAGTGTAATGTTTTTGAGATTCATCCATATTTTTATATTGCAAAAATTGTTTGCTTCTTTTCTTTTTTTCAGAGCAGTATTTCATTGAATAAAAATAACACAATTTGTTTGATCCAGTCTTCTGTTGATGGACATTTGGGTTGCTTCTGGTTTGGGGTTATTATGAACAAAGCTGCTGTGAACATTATTGTATAGGTTTGGGAGTGGGGGGCACTTTTCCTTTCTACTGAGTACCTGAAATGGCTGGGTCATGTGGTGTTAAACAGGTTTTCAAAGAGGTTGGGAAAGTAAGCATTTTTTAACTTAACATGGATAGTCAGTCCCTTTATTAATGCACGTAAACTCATATTTCTACTAGTGACTCCACATTTCCACCAGAAAAGTGTTTCTGTTTCTTTAATTTTTTGCATGTCTGATGGAGCAAAGTGGTGTTATTTTAATTTGTAATTCCCTGATTGCCAAAGATGGCACTGTCATTTTTAAAAGGGCTCCAGAAAATTTTCACATGCAGCTGGTGTTGAGAACCCTGATGTTGGAGGGTGACGGAGGAAGACAAGGATCGGACAGCTCCAGGCAGTATTGTCAAGGTTGAAGTGTGGATGCTTATCATTTAGGGTTAGGGAGACTTCTCCAGGTTTGTTTCTGGGTAAGTTGAGATTGAAGAGAACTGAGAATGAGTTTGTAGAAATATTAGGCAGAGATGGGCTTAAGGACAGAGGTGAAGGTATTAGATTGTCGAGGATCAGGAACAGGGGAACAGGAACACAATGTGCAGTTCCCTGGAATCATTTTGTACAGAACTGCAGGTCTTCCTTGTATTCAGTGGGCAGAGTAGTAATTGATATTCATGATCATTTGTATAATGATTAAACTTTCAAATAGGCTCGTCTGAAGGGATTAACTTTCACCCATCTGAAAAATGTTGCCATCCAGACTGGTTCACCCCAAAGGTTCCAGATAGCTGATGTTTCCGTATACTGGGACATCTATGTTACGTAAATAATGCAACATAGGCCCCACATAGGCCTGGTTTCTTGCTTAACTGAAAGCCTTAACTCAAGAATGCACTTGTGTGGGAAGGGAGTACTTTGTAAAATGAGACCTAGTGTTATCTGAGGGAGATAGAGTACTCAGGTAAGATCTTGAGGCTTGTACCAAGTACAAGAAATGAAAATTGCACTGCATCATGTTGAAAAAAGTGAATTTGCTTCCTGTAGGGCAGGGGTCCCCAACCCTGAGGCTACACAACAGGAGGTGAGTGGCTGGAGTCAGCAAGTGAAGCTTCATCTGTATTTACAGCTGCTCCGCAGACTCGCATTAATGCATGAACTCCGCCTCCTGTCAGATCAGTGGCTTTAGATTCTCATAGGAGCGCAAACCTTGCTGTGAACTACACATACGAGGGATCTAAGTTGCACGCTCCTTATGAGAATCTAATGCTTGGTGATCTGAGGTGGAGCTGAGGCGGTGATGCTAGCACTGAGGAGCGGCTGCAAATTCAGATTAGCATGAACAGTTTGGTTTGACTGCACATGCCCCCCTCCCCTCAGTCCATGGAAAAATTATCTTCCATGAAACTGCCCAAAAGGTTGAGGACCCCTGCTGTAGGGAAGGAGCGGGACTCATGGACACCAGCAAAACGGAGGATGGTCCTTCATCTCCAAGAGCTGCTTATTTGTTACTACTAAAGAATCTTACTAGTATTAAAACAGGAAGTTCTCAGCTGGAGATTTAAAGGAGAAAGGAGCAGTATTAAAGGAGTGCTATTTACCTGCTGAATTTAGCCTGGTGTAAGTGCTATTATTTGTTATGTAAGAGGCGCAAAGAGAACGCCAAGGAGAGGAGAGAAAAGTTCCCACTTGCCAGGTCCCTGCCTAGACAAAGTCCATCTGAATGGCCATAGGAGTTTTCCTTCAGAAGGCAGAAATCTAGATATTAGTGGCAGAAGGCATCTTAAAAAAATGTGAGGCACCGGGCTCGGTGGCTCAGCCTGTAATCCAGCGCCTTTGGGAGGCTGAGGTGAGTGGATTACCTGAACCCGCAGGTTTGAGACCCGCCTGGGCAGGAGAGACCTCATCTCTACAATAAATCAAAAAAATTAGCCGGGCGTGGTAGCGCATGCCTGTAATTCCGGCTACTGGGAAGACTGAGGCGGAAGGATCGCCAGAGCCCAGCAAGTGGAGGCTGTGGTGGCCGGGAGTGGCCACTGCACTCCAGTCTGGGCGATGGAGTGAGACTCCAACTCAAAAAAAAAAAAAAAAAAAATGTGAGGCAATGGAAGAAAGACTCTAAAAGTGACAGTCTCATGCTTTTGCCTGTGGGGTTATGGAACAAGGTGTGGGGGCATTGCTGAGTGAACAGTCTCTATAAACAAACTAGAAAAGGATAGAACCAGGTGGGGATGGATTGACAGAGATCAGGGAGCCCACGGAGGTAACTCTAGTTGTAATTCCTTATACTGGAGAAAAAATTTGCATCAAAATCTGATGTAACTGTAACTCATTCCTTTCAATGTGGTTTCAGGACAAAGAATTTTTAAAAGTTACAGAATTTATGGGATTTAGAAGAGGCAAAACTAATCTCTGTGGGGAAAACATCAGAGCAGTGGCTGCCTCTGGGGGTGGGGGGCAGGGATTGATGGAGCAGGGGCATGAGGAAATTTTCTGCAGTGACAATGATATTTTATATGTCACTGAGGGTTTGAATTATACCAGTATATGTGTTACTCAAAATTTCTCAAATGGCATACATAAGATTTATGTATGTAAATTTTTTTGGGTGTAAATTTTACCTCAAAAGAAAAAGAAATTATAACCAAACAACAAGAAAAGTTTTTTGTTGTTCAGTAGTGGAATTTTTTTTCTTAGCTTTTTAGTCAACTTGTATGGTAAGGAACCAAATTTTTTCCTAATTGGAAAAAACACTGTGAGAAGTTTTATGATGACTAGAGGTTAAAAACATTAATTCAATAAGAAAAAAGGCTTCCCTCCCCCCCACCCCCAATTAGGAGATAAAGCACTGGGGATGTTAGTCATTCTTAAAGATCCCCGAACAGTTTTGCAGCAAGTGAAGTCAGAGGTACCTCATTAATGTAATCATCAATGAAAGAGGTATAGCCTTTCCTTTTAGGCAAAACAGAAGGAGCCAACTTCAATAGCTCAAGCAGCAGAATGAGTAAGAATGACACTCTGCTCTCAAACTGTGTGTTATTAGTCGAAATCAGGTGTTGACTATTTTCACAACCTGACTCAAGGAAAATTTGGAAAAGTGACCAAAAGTTTGGAAAGCATCTCACTTAAAATTTGTGCAGTTACTCTTCAGTGATATTATCACTTCAAATAAAACAACAAGAATCCATGACTACACTGAAGATGTGAACAAAGAGGTCTCTTTGCACCTAATGGTCTAGGGTTGCTGTTCACCGAATATACCATGTGCTTCTTACAGACATGTGGTAGAATGGGCTTCCCCACCTTCTTGGAATTAGATGAAGCCATATGATTTGCTTTGGCAATGAAGTCGTGAACTAAAGTGATAAGTATCATTTGCAAGAGGAATTTAACCAAGGTTGCCAGGTTTAATAAGTAAAATTACAGGATGTCCAGTTAAATTTGAATTTCAGATAGATAGTGAATAATTTCTTAGTATAAACATGCTTTGTGTGCTGTTTGGGGCATACTTATACTAAAACATTGTTTATCTGAATTCAAATTTAATTAAGCATCCGGTGTTTTATCTGGTAACCCTACCATAAGTGCCAGTGTGCAATTTACCTGCCATGTGCTCTCCATCTCTCCGACGTGGTGACCGTGCCATGCCATGGAGCTGGTGGGTGTTCCATCAATCTGGGTCCCTGAGGGAGGACGGTGCCCAGAGTCCACTGCTTACCTGACAGGTAGCATATATAAGACATAACCTCTGTTGGTAAGCCATGGCATATCCTATCCCATTCTGACTGATAGATGCCTTACCTGACCTGGAGTCCTTGCTGTATCTCATTCTGTTTGGTTGGTGCTCTGAGATGTAGCCAGGGAGGTTTTTTTCCTTAATAATTACATGATTGTTCTACCTTTCCCCCCCGCTTAAGGTGGACTTAGGTGAAGGCAAGATTTGCTTCTGTTGTGAAGAATTTCAACCAGCCAAATGCACAGACAAAGAAAATGCCTTGAAACTCTTTCCGGTTCAGCCTTGTAGTGCTGTTCACCTCCTACTTAAGGTACCTCGGATAGATTCCCAACCCCTACCAATAAGTACACCATCATGCCCCCAAAGAAGGCAGTTACTTGAAATATTCCTATTCTGTTACTGCCCTCAAACAATTAAGCTGCTGAAAGCACATACGAGTGACCCCTCATCGTGACCCAGAGATGGAACTGAGTGCAGAAAGAACCACAGATTATTATGTGTGTTAAATTATGTATGGTCCACTTTCTCTGTGTTTGAGAACTGTAAGATAGTAGAAAATGGAAAGAAGCCCAACTATATACATGTCTATGCATACACACACACACACACACACACACACACACAAATGCAAATGTAGCTTTTAGCAAAAACCTTTATATCCCACACTCATTTGTCATTGTTCTAATGCTCAATTTGTTGGCTTAAGTGAGTCATATGGACTATTGAGGTCTGTGTCTGGGACATGTAGACTAAGAAGCGAGATTGGCCAGAAAGTATAGGAGACATTCAAGCACCTTGTCTCTTGTTTAATAAGCAACAACTCTAATAAGCAAAAAGATTTTTAAAAACAAACAAATAATCTCAGTTGAAGAGAAATACAAACTCAGCCTTTATCAGGGAATTGGATAAAAAGGGTACCATAGGCCAGGCATGGTGGCTCATGCCTGTAATCCCAGCACTTTGGGAGGCCGACGTGGGAGGATTATTTGAGCCTAGGAGTTTGAGACCAGACTAGGCAACATAGCGAGACCTCATCTCTATAAAACATCAAAAAATTAGCTGAATGTAGTGGCATACCTCCATAGTCCCAGCTACTCCAGAGGGTGATGTGGACGGATATAACCAGAGGTTGAGGCTGTGCTGAGGTGTGATCGTGCCACTGGCACTCTAACTTGGGCGACAGAGTGAGACTCTGATTCAAAAAAAATTGTGCCGTGACTGAGGGAATACTGGCCTAGTGAGTGACAAGATCAACTGGTGAATCTTGAGGTATGTCTTTTGCACAGTCCACCTTGGCTGGCTTCTTTAGATCTTTGTTTTGGGTTTATTTTTGGTGGGGAGGGGGAATCTCTAGGCAAAGAGAACCATTTGAAACTACCGGCTCTAGGTTATGTGGGATGAACAAGTGGCCTGCTTTCTCTGGCTTCTGCGTTTTTGGTAGCTGAGTCACCCCCAAACTTTCTGAGCCAGGACTTAGCTTGGGGAAAGCCCTGCTAAGGAGCCGGGACTGTAGCAACAGAAACCTGTGGGATGGCCTTTGCTGCTATTTTGAGATGTGTGTTTTAGTGGAGAGAAGTCCTATTTATGCTCAGGCTGGCTGGCTGGCCTCTGCATTGTCCTAGTTGGGTACTTGGGATGGCACAGCCAACTCCTCCTGAAATAGAACTGGTGGCCACAAATTAAGAAGCATGCTGTCCTGGTGGGAGGCTGTGGGAACGGTGAGACTGGGAATCACAGTCCCTGGGGATACCAGCTCCAGAAGAGAACCTCGTTGCTCTTCTGGAAGGATTGTTTCCAGAGAGTATTCTGGAGCTTGCACAAAGAAATACTGTCATACCAGGTCTTTCTGGGACAGAGGGATTCTAGGATAAGTTTATGAAATTAAGAAGTACACATTATTGCGTGAGGGCCCTAATAGTAGCCAGCATTTGTTTAGCACTTTCCATGAGCCATTTACCTCCTAAATCCTTTACATACATTTTCTCATTAGCATTGTCTTATTGGGATAGTATTATTATTTAAAAAATCTTTTACGTTGCATTCTGGGCGTCTGCATTAAAGTACTTAGTGGTGTCATTGTTTCCTTGTTCCAGAAAGTCCTCTTTGCCCTGTGTGCCTTGAATGCCCTGACGACCACCGTCTGCTTGGTGGCCGCCGCCCTCCGCTACCTCCAGATATTCGCAACCAGGAGATCCTGCATCGTAAGTCTGTGCAAGGTGCCGTCATGGCTGTGTTTCAGCTGGGCCGGCCCTCAGACGCTTTTGTGTAATCCGTTGCTCTCTTCCCGTGCCTTTGTAATGAAGGCTGTTGACTGACCGAGGTGCTGTCTCACCAGGATGAATCTCAGATTTCTGCTGAAGAAGTGGAAGATCATGGGCGTATCCCAGACCCTGAGGACTTCGTGCCACCTGTGCCTCCTCCATCCTATTTTGCCACATTTTACTCATGCACACCCCGGATGAACCGCAGGTATCGGTCTTAAGCTCCTCTGCAGTACTGGTGGGGTGCTCTGGGTTTTAAAGATTGAGGGGTCTCCACAACTCACAGCATGAGCTCTGACTTTTCTTGGAAATCTAGACAGACTGTGATGTTTTTCGGGGGTTTCTAATCTCCCTGTCTCTGCCCCACTCTGTTTTCCCTCTGTCTGTGTCTCTCTTTCTCTCTGATAAACCAGATGTGTCCAGAGAAAAGTCAAACTTTGACCTAAAGATACATGTTTTCAATTTCAATTAGCTTTCTAGGGAAAACTGACACCCAAACAGATAATGGCTGTAATTTGACATGATTGAGACTCTCTGTTGCCCTGGAAACACTCTCAGTTAGGCCAAATCGATGCTTCATTATAACGTCATCAGCAGGACCCAATGATCATGAAATTCTTCCCAGCCATTAAAAAAAGATTAATTATTAATTGCATCTCCCTGGTCTAGAAAAAGTAGATACCATACTAATTTTCCTTTTCAAATTCTAGCTCAAAATTTTGACTTCTCAGGAATTATTATTTGTAGAATGAAATGCTGCATGCATTTGTCTGGTTGTTAGCAACTTCTAGAATTGAACCTTTCTAAAGAATTACTTCATTTACTCATTCAGCAAACACATAATCAATCCTCTGCCGCTTACAGTCGCTGTACTGAGTTAGAACTGCTCCCTCCCCAACAATGAAGGAGCTCAGGGTCTAGGTCATTAAAATGAATGTTGGAAGGATCACAGTAGTACTCCAAAGGGAGAAATGCACAAAGAAGCTTCTCCTAATCCAGAGGTGTGCAGTGGGTCAGGCAGTCAATGTGGTTCCATGGAAGAAGAGACCGGATGCTGAATTTAAAAGAAGCAAACCGCAGCATTATTCACAATAGCCAAGATATAGAATTAAAAAAAAAAAAGAAGAAGAAGCAAACCTATATTTGATTTTCCAGAAGAAAATCTCAACTCCACAGAAAGACTAGTGTCTTTAACTTGATATTAACAGGGCCAGACATTTCTATTTTTTAAGCCCTGTATTACATGTGAAGACTTGTTAAACAAATTTGGTGCTAGACTTGGGGTTTTTGGAAAACCATTTTCTCATGTTCAGGACAGCCATCTGTGACTTTGAAATGGGTCACCAGTGGGGGCTACCATCTAGATGCTGTTTGTATATTTTCAGTGGGTTATCTGCTAACTTGCCCCTCAGAACCATAACTGAACCCCACTTCCGTGCCTTCCCCTGCCCAGGCGGGGGCAGAGATGACCACAAAGCTGAGGGAGGGGGGCGTGTCAGTTGGGTGAACAGATGGCCTGGGTTAGGCCTGTGGGACAACTCAACCTCTCTGTTGTTTAGGGAGTGGCCTGCTGGAATTTGGAAACTTTAGTGACTGGATGACTTTCTTAGTCTTTGAGGAAATGAGCCAAGAATTACAGGGAATGAAGAGATATAGCATCACAACATATATTCTTTGTGCACCATAGGCCACATTTGCTAAAACCTTAGCTCAGTCTCAGGCTGTTTGTAGAGGGTACATCGGAGGACAGTAAAAATGACTGTTATCTCGTGGTCAGGAAGAGAAATGCCCTCTTCAGTAAGAATTCCTTGGCTCTCTGAGGTTGTGGGTAAGCATTTAGTTGACCTGAGAGGAGGTGACAGACAGATTTAGTTTCCTGCAGTGGCAGAAAAGGAAAGTGACTCATGTGGGTTTGGGAGTCGTGTTGTCCAGCGGCAAGCCCTGTAGACTCCCTGACCTTCCTTTCTCCTCTCTTTCTTTTCTCTGCTCCGCCATAATGATGCTTATCACTGTGGCATAATGATGCTTATCTCCACTCTTGGGGGACCTGGGTACATCCTTAGATTTGTCCCTTTGAGTCCTGAGACAGTCCCTGTCCAAATCCAGGCTGGAAGAAGACAGGCATGCTTCTCATCAGGAGCTTTCCTGTTAAGAATTTTCCAGAAGGAAGATGGAAAGAGAGGGTTCAAGCAAAACACCCTTGGGAGGAAGAAGCCATAGCCCAGTCTAAATTATATGCCTGGAGCCCTAGATAGCACCACCGATGGGCAAACACCTTCCTTTTCTGAAATTCTACCAATATCAGAGTCCAGTCTATTTTCCTTTTTAAAATGGCTACATTTATTCATGTTTAGATACATATTCTATCAAAGGTATTTTCAAATTTGACCGACTTTGCTAGATTCACGGTCTAAATCTGTGACACTAGCAGCTTAACCCCAATGGGTCATTTTCTTTGTCATAAGCAGGCAGGCAAGAATATTCACGAATGTTGTCGTTAGTACTTCCACAACCAATTATGTTAAAAGTTTTTGGATGATGGAGATTCCTCATTTCCTGTAAGGTATTATGACCTCTCAGAAGAGGTTTATTTATTTAACTTCTATAAATACAACCATTTCATGCATTGGTGTCTCCTTGAGAAAAGGCTTCTCAAGTTACTGTCGTAAACAGAAGCCCTATTGCAGCTAAGGCTTCTGTCCAAGGATGGGTCCTCTACTTTGTGAATTGACTTGTTGTAAGTATGGGAGGGGACTGTGCACCCCACATCCACCACTCCAGGGTGCCCCCCACCCTTGGAAATGGGCTTGAGCCAGGTATCTAGAAGGAGAGTCTCCAACCTATTTTGTGAACATGAACCTGGTTTTAACTCCGGAGAGGTAACCTGTTCACAGAAATTTTAAGCCTAAGGGGATGGGAGCCAGGTTGACATGGACATTTCTTAAAGGGAGGACAAAACAACCACCACCACCACCACCACCACCACCACCACCACCACCACCCACCCATTTCCTTTTCTAAAGACCTTCAAAACCCAAACCCAGATGAAGCTAGGTGATGCTTGGGGTTGAGTCAGTGCTCAGCTACAGGGCTTGGGGGAGGGGTGCCCCTGCTTCTCTTCCCCCTCCATGAGCAGCAGCAACCCCGTGGCCAGTAATAGGGTATAGCTTCCCAGTAGACAGAGTGGGGTCATTCTGTGGTCAAAGGCATATTTGTTGCAGCATTACCCTGGGATGAGTATCTAAGGCCTATTCGTAACATTAAAGCGAACATATTTTGCCTGATGTTTAAATTTCCTATTCATCTTCAGGGCTCACGAGATGCACCTGAAGGCTTCCTGGACTTAGTGATGAACTTGAAAGAGCCCAGACTCTGGAGTTTTCTGCAAAGGGTGGCCCTGGGCAGGTCTTTTACCATTTCTGAGCCTCAGTTTCCTCATTCACTTGCATTGCCACATGATTGCTGGGAATATTGTTATGAGATGATGGACATAAGAAGCTTTCTAAGAATAAAAACTTAGACCACGTTCTCCCATTGTGAGTTATGTGGTTAAAATGTTCTTGGCATGTGTTCTACTCTTAAGAAACATTTACCTCTTAATCTTACCCCTACCTTATTGAGAGAGTGTTCCAAAACTCTCTCATCCTTAGTAAACATTTGAGCAACGCTCCAAGATTGAGCAGGGTTTTGATTCAACCACCATGATCCATTTCCTTTTGCAATGGTGCTCAATCCTAGGTGTACATTAGGATCCCCTAGGAGCACTGGAAACAGATACCTAGGCCCACCACAGGCAATGAGAGCAGAATTTCTAGAGCTGAGGCCTGGGCCACACATAGTTTTAGAACCCTCCAAGGAAATTCAACTCTGTAGCCAGGGCTGAGAATCATAGGCATGGAGGGTGCTGGGGGGAGTACCAAGCTGCAGGATATAGCAGATCTGTTTCCCTTCACAGATCCCTATTTACCCAAAGCAGGTAAAACGAGGAATGGCTTAATGGGAATAGAACTTTCAGTCTATGTCAACTCTAGCAGCATCTTCCATCAAATTGAGGCTGTTATGGTCATTATAATAGCCACCATAGAAGCCGTTTATTTTGTGGTCTACTTGGATAAAGTTTGCCCACTTTTCCCCCAGTTGTTCTTTTGGAAGAGATTCTGCCTCAGTTTGGAATCTTAAATGGAGCCCATTCCTCTGATCTCTTGGCCCTCTCAGCAAGCTGTCTCCTCTCTGTGAACAAATGTGTAGCCTCTGCTTGAGAACGTCAGACAGAGACCATCATAGCTAACAAACAGGCAAACAAAAGTGTGGGGTTTGGGGGGCGGGGCGGGGGGAAATGTTAATCTCCTAGTCAGGGGACACAGTAGTGAAGAAATCCTTGTCGTTTGTTGGAGGAGGGAAAGTCCAGGGTGTGTAAGTGCTGAAAAGATGGCCCCCAGGGGGATTATGCTGATTAAGGATTGAAGACTGGCCCTCTGGAGAGGACAGAAGGAGTCCATAGATCTCAGGGATGAAAACACATTGCACTGCTCGTTGACCAAGAATCAGTCTTCATTCAGTTAGGTCCAGGAAGGCTCTGGCTTCTCAGAGTCACTCAGCACTGGCAGTTCTTAGACAGCTTTGGTTGGATAGGAGCGGTTGCACAGGCCCACTGGCAAGTCCTGCTCTAAGGGAGACTCTCTTTCACGACAACTTTGCCAGGCCCCCTCTCAGGCCCCCATGGAGGGACCCTTCGTGCTGGTGCCTGGCTTCTGACTGGAGGCTTGACATGCTGAGCCTGCGGATGTCCCCATTTCAGGTGTCGGCACACGACCTTGTCCCTTCCCTTTCTGGTCAAGCAGGGAATGAGCGTCTTGTTTACACATAAAATATAAAGGAAAAGGGGAGAGAGCTTTCTCATCTTTTCATTCAGGCCACAGAAATCTCATTCTTCTAGACCCCAGAATTCCAGAAGTTTTGTTGTTACAAAGAAAGAACATCATATCTTTTTCCAACTTTTAAAATTCCACCAATCACATTTTGTAAATGGGCACAAGTAATAGCGTGAAACAACTGTAAATTCAGAGAACACTTCTCTCAAAGCAGTCCCCTGCGTACCTCTCCCCTAAAAGCAGTTCCCAGAATGTCTTTTCTTACACTTCTTTAAATTTTTTAAATCCTTTTTTGCATTTCAAGAGCAGATGTTAAGTTTTTGCTGTTATCTGGTTTTTTTATTTTTTTCATACTACGCAGCCTAAAGACAGGTTTTGTGGCCTTTATATGTATCTTATAGTAACTGTTTTAAAAGTTAGGTTCTTCATTATCTAGCTTCTCTATTGTGGAATTTTCTATGAACGGTGGCAGGAAATCTTGAGGTTTTTTTGTTTTTGTTTATTTTGCTATTGAGGGTCCCTTACTTACAGGGGGCAAAAAACCAAACAAACAAAAAGCAAAGAACAACCCCAAAAAACCACCCCAAAAGGAGTTATCTAAGAAGCACTTAAAACACATCTAACTTTATCTGGGTGGGAAGAAGACAATTGAGAAAGGAAATCTGTAATTTAGTAATTTTTAAATGATTAAGTATGGGGTCCATAACATTTTCATTGGTAAATATAGCAAATGTAAATGTTAAACAACTAAGGGATTTTCCAGTCCTAAACTATCCTCACTTAAAGAGGGAGTGGTAGATTAGGAGACTGAGGCAGGAGGATTGCTTGGCCCCAGGAGTTCAAGATCAGCCTGAGCGACATAGCGAGACCATATCTTTACAAAAAATAAAAAACAAAAAAATTAGCCAAACATGGTGGCTCTGCCTGTAGTCCCAGCTGCTCAGGAGGCTAAGGCAGAAGGATCGCCTGAGCCCAGGAGGTCAAGGCTGTGGTGAGTTGTGATTGTGCCACTGCATTCCAGCTCCAGCCGGGGGGACAGAGTAAGGCCCCCAACTCAGAAGGGAGGGTGGTCAAAAGTAAGAGGAGAGGAAAAAGGAAAGAACAGTGTGGAAATAGTGAAAGCTGGGTTGGGGAAGGGAGAAAAATTCAGGGGAGAAAGTAAGGCAAGAGAACAGCTGCTATTTTAATTAATTTAGCAGGATATGGAGTAATTTGTCTTCTGTAGTTCAGTTTCTCTATATCCACACTGTTTCAGCCAAATATGAGTACCTTTAAACATATCTTCTTTCATGAAATCTTGAGTCTGTTATAGCTTTGCTGTTGTTGATGGTGTTCATATTACAAATCATTGCAAATTATTTTGCCTGCTTGGTTGAGTTTGCTATATCAAGTTCAGAAGGAAATAGAAAACCAACCTTTATTTCTTCCCCCTGGCATTATCCTTAATAATGATGTATAATGAAACATAATCACATTCCCCCAAGTCCTTAGTTGTTGTTTTTAAAATTGAGGTGAAATTCATATAACATGAAGCTGCTTTAAAGTGCCTAATTCAGTAGCATTTAGTAAATTCACAGACTCGTGCAGCCATTACTCCTATCTAGTTCCAAAGCATTTTCATCACTTTTAGGAGACCCCATGTCCATGATGGTCACTCCCCGTTCCCTTCTTCCCCAGCCCCTGGCAACCACTAACATGCCCTCTGTCTCCATGGATTATTGTTGGCTTTCTGACTGGTGGATTTAAAAGGAAGGATGGGGCTTCATTTTATACACTGTCACTTGCCTGAGGAACTCTGGGCACTCTGTCAGAGAGCAGCTTGTGTTGTCCTTCTTCTGGCCTGGGAGACTGTGGTATGGAGGGGTGAGTGGTTTTCCCCACAGCCTAGAACACAGACCAGTCTCCTGGAGCCAATACCGACTGATGGTGTCTGTAGAACATGCCATTGATGCCGAGATGCTTTTCCTAGGATGGTTGGTTCTGATGTCATCCCACTGCCGCACATCTATGGAGCTCGAATCAAAGGTGTGGAAGTGTTCTGTCCCCTGGACCCCCCGCCTCCGTATGAAGCCGTGGTGAGCCAAAGGGACTGTGAGCAGGTACTAGCCAGAGTCTGTCTCTAACACGTTGACTGTGAGTAGGGAATACAGCATGCCTCCTAGAGAACAGTGGGGAGACTGTACCCTGCACATCTTCTTAGGGGATACACTGGGGTCTGATGAGGGGTGAGTTGAACATCAACAAAATAGCCTTCTTTTTTCCTGTGATGCAGGGACCTTCATTCCAAATACCAGAAGAATCAGAAGCTGTTGTGAGCCCGTTGGAACCTGTCTGTACACAAGTGACTCAAGGTAACAGATACATTATCATGGCCCAAAATCATGATTCAATAGGTTAAAATATGGTAAAATAATGACCTGTCTGGTAGTTTGTTGGAGGTCAGATATTCTCGGAGCACATAGTTCAAGCTACATCCTTTTTTCCAAATGCAAAAATACTATCAACTATTAGACCTTATAAGTGGGACATAATATATGAACAGAAAAAAGATATCCTTGGAATCTTTTATGAATAACCAGACTATTCTCAGGAACCCATGAAACAGATTACAGAGTTTGATTTGGTATTCCTGTGTCTTCCAGTCTCTGATTTTCCTTCTCCTTTTAAAATTAGCTGGACTCTTTTGTAGGCAGTAAACAGTTTCACTGGTTGCAGGGTGGTTTGCTATGAGATTGTGCTATGTCATGTATAACCTGAGGCCCATGTCACGCTGCTTGAGCATCTAGTGAATTCTGATTTTCAATCCTATACTAAGTACTAGAGTCAGTTTACATTTATCCTTGTAATTTAAGGGAACATCCATATGACTTTCTCTCTTTAGGGAGGTTTTAAATGGCCCAGAGAATTGTCCACCAGGACAAAAATCGCAGATAGTGATAAATAATGGATCAACTTTTAGCAATTTTAGATGAAGATAATTTTTCAGCATACCATTTGTAATAGCTTTCTGCTCTTCCGTTCACTTTCCTTCTTAAGTAGAATTAGGAAGCAGTGTTCTGTCTCCTAAGAATATTTGTAATTTTTCCAGTTTATTTTTAAATTTTAAAGATATGTGGTACAAATCAGCATTAGGTAAACAAGTGATCATTGTACATATTTTTCCTTTTTTTTTTTTGAGTCAGAGACTTACTCTCTCACCTAGGCTAGAGAGCAGTGGCATGCTCACAGTCACCCTAGCATCGACCTGCTGGGCTCAGGCAATCCTTCTGCCTCAGCCTTCCAAGTGGCCGGAACTACAGGCATACGCTACCTCGCATGGCTAATTTATTTAATTTTGGAAATATTGTAGAGACAAGGTCTCACCAAGTAGCCCAGGCTGGTCTCGAACCCCCAGGTTCAGGCAATCCTCTCCCCTCGGCCTCCCAAAGTGCAGGGATTATAGGCTTGAGCCACCACATCCAGCTATTTTTCCATTTTAAAAAGCAGTTTACCAAACTACAACTCAGGTTCACAAATGATGTGATTTTGTTTTCCTGATGATAAGTCCTTCAATTCCAGAGTGGTTTTACTGATTTGTTTAGTGGCTACTGGCTCTTCAGCTCAGCAGCCTGGGAGCTTCACAGCTCGGAATGCACTCTGGGTTATGCAGAGGGTCCTCTGCCCGCATTTGGTCTGCTGTTCACAGAGTAGTCACCTCAGCTGTATTACCTTCCACCGAACCATGCCCATCCTGAATTGTCAGAACTGAAATGCCTGGGAACTTTTCAGTACTGCCACCAGGATATTTCACTGGAGAAGATTCTAAGCAGCTTTGGAAAAAAACGGACATTTGTCATGGCTTCTTTATTTTGCTCTTGGATTTACATTTGCTTGTTTGTTTTAGGTGTGGAGCAGTGGTTTGGAGAGGCAAATTTTCCCATAGTGCTGGGAAATAAAAAACCGTACTGGGTCCACAGCCTGAGTAAATATTATTAACTGTATTACCCTTGCCCCTGGCAGGTTTGGGCTCACAGGTGTTTCCTGCCCAACATTTTGAAGACTGCAACTGGTGAAATCATGAATATTTCTCCTTTGTTTTAAAAAAAATTAGGTGGTGATATTCCTAGCACACCTGGAGAAGAAAGCACATCCATATCAACTCCCAACTCGACCCTGGTGCGCCCTATGAGAAGCCGGAGAACCCTCCCGCCCCTGAGCACAAGGTCCAAGAGTGACCCAGTGCTCCATCATTCCGAGGAGAGAGGTGATGTCATGCCCCAAGCCCTTGTCAGAGCCCTGTGCTTATTTGCCTAAAGGGGCCAGGTGAAACTGGTGTCTCTGCTGGCCCAAGGCACTTCAGTTTAAGTGATAAATGAAGGAGGTTAAGAGGTCTTGGGAAGGGCCGATATTCTATATGCATATGAAGAATACACATCTACTGCAGCTTTTAAGGATGATGGGGCTGCTTTTTAAGTCATTGTCATCAGAAGCGTCTGGTTGTACGTGATACCGTGCTAAGTACTACATGAAGAAAATTATGCATTCCTAGTTCTGATGCCTAAATGCTGCAATCCTGTGGGAATATATAATCTCCTCAAGGAAATAGTCAAGGGTCATTTTCCCCCCGCTCTTATATAATTTTTTTTTTTTTTTTTTTGAGTTGAAGTCTTACTCTGTCGCCCAGACTGGAGTGCAATGGCCGCTCCCGGCCACCGCAGCCTCGACCTGCTGGGCTCTGGCGATCCTTCTGCCTCACCCTTCCGAGTAGCCAGAATTACAGGCGCATGCTACCACACCTGGCTAATTTTTTGATTTTTATTGTAGAGATGAGGTCTCGCCTGCCCAGGCAGGTCTCAAACCCACGGGCTCAGGCAATCCACTCACCTCAACCTCCCAAAGGTGAGGGATTACAGGCTGAGCCACCAAGCCTGGCCTCTTCTATAATTCAATGTTTATTATCTTTTTACCATGTATGAGTAGATTGAATTATTGAAATCTGACCTTTTTTAAAAGAACTTCAGATAGAGTGAAACACATAGGCTCACACACTCCATCTTTCTCTCTGTGTTGAGTTTGTGTATAGATGTTATTTGAATAATTAAAAATAACAACATTGGGTCTTTTTTCTGAATATATGAATACTTTCACATCTCCAAATATCTCTTCATCATAGAAAATTGTAAAAAATAAAGGAAGAAAATGAAAACCTGTAGTTCTACTAGCGTGGGCTTCCTTTTGTGAACTATTCTAAGAGTTGACCTCTGTTCTTCTAAAACCCTATGCAAGTGGAACTTTGACAATCCTCCAACCCTGCTTTCTTTTGGGACATGTCTTGAGCACTTGCAGTCTCTGTTCTGCCCCTCTGACAGTGTGTGTTATTTGCCACAGCTCTGGACTGACCGTGTGCGAGCCAGAGAGAACACTCCTCTTGTCTCTACAGTGGCTTCCGAGAGGGGAGGAAGTCCTACCGCCTGGGACTGAGCACGTCTCCACAACCCCAGCAGGCCAGGCAGCCTGACCTCTGATTCCCAAGACCCGCTGTCACTCTGGGTCTCTCCTCTACCCTACCTGACAAATTGAGGACTCCAGCCTCAACGGGAGCTTAGCTGTCTGCACAGCTTAGAAAAATCCTTCCAGAACCCCTTCTCATTCTGCAGCCCTCACGGGCAAGGACGACAAGGTTTACCCGCTGGAGCCCTCCCATGCGGAGGGCACCAGGGTTGCCTTCAAGTGGATGAATGCAGACCCTGGCTCTGTCCTCACACACGAGTGTCTTTAGCGAGTGTTCCTGGAAGATTCTTGCTCTCCGTGACATGCACATGGCAACCTGGGAGGACAGCCTCTAACCCTGGTTTAGAGCTCCCCATGCCTGCCTTTCTCCAGAGGAAATGGAGTGCCCCCTTCCTCCATCTGCTCTTCCACCCCCTGCTTCCTGCCTTCCTTAGATATCTAAATTCCAGCTTTTCAGGCCTTCACAGACTGAAGTCAGCAGAGCTGTGTACACTGAAGGCTGCTGGCTGGCTTATGGACACATAGAGACCAGACCTGAGTTTCACTTCACCCACTCCACAGTGCAGTAGTGTTCTGCTGGGCTTTACCCCCTTGCTGATGTAGGTAGCCACGGAAATCAGAGCCTATGATGGACTTCCCAGGTCCTCTGTTGACTTCCAGAATGTGTCGTTTTTCTGCACCTAAGTTTCCCTTTCTGTCATAGTCAGCACTAGATCTACCTCATAGCCGTGATGTGAGCATCGATAACATAAATCAGTACAATCCCCTTGAGGATATTTAGGACAAAGGTACAGTCAAAGTGAACAGAGCATTTTATTCATCCCATGAGCCTTGTCTCTCTTCAGCCCCGACCTCTCTAAGTGACTGCTTCACCCATTTCCCTTGGAACATTCTTGTATTGGTCAACCATGTTTTTCCTGCTTGGCCCCTCCATCCCCGTCTATTTGCCATATCCCATGAGATTTGCTCTGTTATGGTTGCATTCTGGATTTTATTCTCTATCATCTGTCTTTAACTTGGGGGTTGTGTTTTTATGGGACACAATTAAATATTTTGGGCCATATCCTATGGACACCGCACTTCTGGGCATAAGCTTGTGTCATAGTTGTTTTGTTTTTCCCTTCTTCCGCGAGATGAAAAGCAGGATATGCATGGCTGTCAGCGTTTGTCATACGCTTTTCACACAGGGTTTTGTGGTCTGTGCTTTCAGGTACAGGCATGTGTTCAAAGGGGCTTGGTCGCTGGGTACATGTTGTTTGTCTCTGCCCACAGCTGCCCCGGTGCTCAGCTGCGAAGCTGCAACTCAGACTGAAAGGAGGCTGGATCTGGCTGCGGTGACTTTGAGGAGAGGCTTGAGATCCAGAGCTTCGCGATGCAGACCGCGGTCTTTAATAGATTACAAATCCTACATAGACACCAAGCTGTTGGTGGCGAGGTTTCTGGAGCAGTCCTCTTGCAGTATGACCCCAGACATCCATGAACTTGTTGAAAACATTAAATCTGTTTTGAAGTCTGACGAGGAGCACATGGAGGAAGCCATCACAAGTGCCAGTTTCCTAGAACAGGTAGTTTTATTATTAATATCGGGCATGAATCAGATAACTTGCTTCCATAGCAGCTTAAGCAGCTTCTCTGATTTCCTGTCCAACACAGAGTCAGTTCCTGGTTACAGCCTCAAGGGAAATGGGGTTAGCAGGTTGGGGGAGAGAGAGAGGAAGCAGGAGAACTTTCCTTTCAGGTGTGGTAACTATTCCAGAGCATTCTTGTCTCGTGGAAAGAGAACCCAGTTTTTTGGGGATGTGGAAGCATGCCTGGAAAAGAAAAAGGGTGCTTCTGGGAATGAAAGCAACGACAGCATGGAGCACAGTCAACATCTGATTTCCTAAGTTGAAGACTTCCCTTGGTAGGGCATGTTTTCTCAACCCTTTGAAAATGATGACAAAGGTGAATTTTAATATTGACAAGATTCTGGGAGCTGTTCACATTCCCATGAAATGTTTGGCAAGATAAATAAGCTGATAGGACTTAAAGGAATAAACAGCTTTTCTATCCATAGATTTAAAAGTATAAGGCAGCCCCTAGACTGAAGCCACCTGAGAAAAAGATAACATTGGTCATGAATATAATTCATTTGGGTCAGGTTTCTCATGTTCTTTTTTTTTGAGTTGGAGTCTTACTCTGTCACCCAGGCTGGAGTATAGTGGCACGCTCCTGGCCACCAAAGCCTCCACCTTCTGGGCTCAGGCTATCCTTCCGCCTCAGCCTTCCAAGTAGCTAGAGCTATAGGCATGTGCCATCATGCACTGCTAATTTTTTTATTTATTGTAGAATGAGATTTCACCAAATTGCCCAAACTGGTCTTGAACCTCGGCCTCCCAAAGCGCTGGGATTACAGGCTTTAGCCTCCACACCCAGCCAGCTTTCTCATTTTTAAAGTGAAGGGTAAGCCTAGGTGGTTTCTATACCTTTCTATCTGAGTGAATGGAGTTTCCTTCTGGTAAGAAGCTTCTCTCCACCTCTTTTCAAAGCTGTGACTTTTTTGGTGTTTACTTCATTGCTGCAGGTATGTGGGATGGATGTTGTAGACATCGCTGCACAGTGGCATGTGGATGTTACATGGCTCTGTGTCTTTGCTTAAGTCCCCAACAAATACTTCTTAAGTCGAATTGGACTGATTCTCAGGGTAATTACCAGCTCCAGGATGCTAAGTAAATTTTTAAATCAGATTGAATAAATACCCTTCTCACTTTCCTTTCTGTTCCCCCCTTTCCACCTGCTGGCCTCTTCTACATAAGCCAGAAGCCAGATTCTCTCCCAGTACCTCAGGGAATCCAAGGAAGAAGATTGATCTGATTACTGGCATGAAGAGGTACAGGAACCACAGCGTTTCTTGTGACTTGCTCTCTAAAAAAGCAGTTGGTCAATAGGTCAGGGTCAGGCTCCAGTTACTAGCCTGTTTTGGGGGAACATTTTATGTGCTAGTGTCCCTAACCTACTCCAGATGTCATTCCCTGTCACCTTCCCGCTGTCCAGCCCCAAGAGTCCAAGAAACAAGATCCACTTCTTGAAGGCTGCCAAGCTCTGATGAGGTAAGAGCTGGAGCATTCACCAGGCAGTTGGTCTGGACCTTCTGCAAAGTCTTGCTCCCTGGGAAATAGCTCTGGGAAAAAGAACAAACACTGACAGTTCAGCAGATGCTATCGTTACAAATGTTTGCTAGATCCTGGTGCCCCAGACCGGTCAAAAGTTCAGGTCCTGAGCTTGTTGCCATAGACTTCGGGCCATCTGCTGGGACCTTCCAGGACTGGACCTTAGAGGTTTTATAATGCCACACCCCTTCCCAGACAGCGAGAAGCAAGGGCACTGGAAGGTGACCTTTTATTTGTGACTCTACCCAGCTTCACATATTTTCACTTTCTTTGGTATCACTAGAATGAGTTTTTAGATCCATTTCAATTTTCACCAATGCCAACACTTAAAAATATGTTTCAATACCTGACTTTCCATGCAACATAGTCAATGTCTATGAATGATGGAATTTCCTTCTTAATCAGGAGACAGATAATTAATAGACTGTTAACAAAATCCATTATCTCATCTGTTTAAGGGAGTAACCTTTTAACCTTAAAAGCTCAGAATGCAGCAGGCATGGTGGCACATGTCTGTAATCCCAGTACTTTGGGAGACTGAAGCGGAAGGATCGCTTGAGCCCAGGAGTTTGAGACCAACCTGGGCAACGTAGCAAGACCCTGTCTCTATAAAAAATCAAGACATTGACTGGTTGTGTTGTGTGTGCCTGTAGACTTAGCTACTCAGGAGGCAGAGGCAGAAGGATCACCTGAACCCAGGAGATTGAGGCTGCAGTGAACTGTGATTGTGCTTTTGCTCTCTAGCCTGGGCAATAGAGTAAGACTCCAACTTAAAAAAAAAATTTCAGAATGGTACAAACTAAGCAAAAAGTCATTTGAAGGATTGTTTTGTGATGTTAGATGGTGACAAAGCCTCTGGGTTTTTCCCAAGGTGCATTAACAATATTATAGGTCATGTAGACCTACCTGTGTAGTTTTTAACAATTGTATCGACTAGACAGTTCTCTTCAATCCCAGTTGGATGAAGAATTTCTCAATTTTTTGTGCCATTTTTAGAGAGTAAGTGGTATTATTATATATTTAAAGTTACACATGTGACACATTGCTAAGCAGACCTAGCAATAGAACCATTCTTAAAGAGGTTTTACAAATAAGTTGGCCTAGCTTGTATGTTGTTTACTGAAGGATTATCAGATCTATTTGAAACATCGTTTGTTTTGATTGACATCTTATAAACTCATTACCTGGTCATAAATCCAGACCAGTGGTTTTCGCATTTTAAAATGCATTGGTATCATTTGGGGTCTTTAAAAAATAGACACTTGCCACATGTTCTAATTCATAAACGGACCCTGAACATTTACCAAAATACTATCAGAAAGGGGTTGGCAGTAGCCAGAAATGGCCAGGGGAGGGAGGGGGGAGGCACATAACATACATAACATGAATAAGGGTACTTGATCTCACACCAGGCAAAGTGGGGGCCACAAGGAGGCCCAGACTTTATCTGTACCATGACCACTTGTATACCTAATCCTGAATTGTACCCTACATCTTTAAAATATGAGAAATTAAAAAAATAAAAATAAAAATACAGACACTTGAGTTCCACTCCACACTCAGAGTTGCCGTGCTGGTGCCTGGGAATTTCTGTTTCTGACAAACCCCTCTCTTCTACCCCCCAAACCACCCCAGGGATAATGCTCAGACTCCACTGGGGATCACTGGCTTAGACCTCAGGGAGGCAGGAGAAGAGTGATCAGAAGAATGCTACAGCAAGCAATCGTATTGGCAAGCCAGTTAAGTGTGATTTGTAGGTCTGCAGTTGAAATGACAGAACTTCTGGAGAATATCTTAGGAATGTAAGAAAAAAAGACAGTATATTTAAAGTAACTGTGGAACTCCAAGAAGGTTCTACTTTGGGAAGACACTCCTTTTTCTTTTCCAAAGCAATGACGCATTAAGATACCGGGACAGATCTAGGAGGCAGGTCAAGGGGCCATATCTGGTGAAGCTTACTCAACTTCTCCCACCCCCTTATTCTCCCAAAGATAATGACCCCGCTGCAGCCCAGCACGTCCAGGGCCCATGCGCTGCCCTCGCGGAGACAGCCTGGCCTGCTGCACCTGCAGAGCTGCGGCGACCTGAGCACCTTCATTCCGGTGGGAAGGCCGCGAGCTGAGAGGAGGCCCCGGCGAGCGGAGGCCGAGCGGCCACACAGCCTCATTGGGGTCATCCGAGAGACTGTCCTGTGAGCCCGGAAGATGGAAGGCTACTCCAAGGAGAAGGATTCCCTCCTCTCTGTGTCGTCTCCTGGCTGGGAGTTGGGGGTCCCCTTCAGAAAGAGGGGCGCTCTGGAGGACATTTGTTTCTGCTCTTGGGCTGTCCTTTTTGCTGCCTGAGGGCATTCAAGGGTGAATGCCCAGATCCTTCCCGGCCCATTTGGGCTTGGGATGCACCGAAGGGCAGGCTGTGAAGGCAGCGACTCTCTCCGTCCTCTGCTGGGTCTCACAGCATTCCCAAGGGTCACACGCTGCTGGGGCAGAACCTGGGCTAAAGGCTCTTTGCCCCCCTCACGTCCCTCTTTGTTACTAAGTTCCTTCCCTCTTGAAAGGACAGATCTGCTGGGCTGCTATTTATAGCTGCTGGTGGCTCATCGGGTTGGCAGGAAACACAATGATTAACCCTCTTGTGTCTGGTCACCCTCAAATCACACTCTCTTTAGGAAAAACAGGAAACTTTTTAAGTGACAAGTTTTAATGAAAGACATTTAGGGAGAGACTTACTGTTGATTCCATTTATTTATGCTTGCAAAACTAGAGATGCCCAAGGCAGAACTGAGAATAAATATGTCGACTTTGGACCTCTGGGCTGGGTGTGCGGTATTTGTTTCAGTCTGGGAGGAGGGCAGGGGAGCAGGCCTTACGTTGATGGAGGGTTTGGGACGACTTGGAGCTGTGGGGGTCAGTTGGCAGGGGAGCCCGCCAAGCCAGTTTAATCCCTAAAGCACCCAAACCCTGCAGGGATAACAATGTGTCCTTCATCCTCTCAGAAAGCGGCTTGGCTGAATGGCTCCGTGGGGCTGCATTCTAGTGGGACCGAGAACAATAAATCAATAAAGTAATTACAGAGGGGGGATGTGACTTAGAGGATGGGGGGGGGGATTTTCCAGGCAGAGGGAGAGCCTACAGACACTAGAGGCCACTGTGCTCACAACCCCGAGTCAGGGGAGAGGTGGGCGGGAGCTGCAAGGACTGCCTGTTACGCCAGTATTGAAACACCAGGAAGAAACGGTTTTCCACAGAAGAGTGGCAGATTTTTTTTGCCTATAAATGTCTTTTACTTTATTTCATTATAAAGATGTGGGGCACAAGTCAGGATTAGGCACATAAGTCGTCTAAGTGCAGGTGAAGTTTGGGCCTCCAACTGGTCCCCTCTTCCTCTGGCTTAGGATCAGGTATCCTTCGTGATGTTATGTCCGACCCCACCCACAGTGTCCTGCTACTGCCAGTCCCTCAGAAGAGCGGCCGATTTTATGGTATTTTCAAAAGATCACCGTGCTGCATGGAGAACAGTTTAGACCAGATGTGAGAGGCCGAGGAAGGAGGCGCCCTGGCAGGTGGAATACTGGCTCTTGCCTGTGTGCCAGCCGCTAGGCTAAGAGCTTGACTCACACCCTGGCTTCGTGCTCACAGCAGCTCAGGAGGTGGGAGCTGTTTTGTCCCCATTTTACAGATGTGGAAAATTAGGTTCAGTAACTTGAGTCTCTTGGCAGCTAAGGGGTGGAGCTGAAATTCACGCCGGGGCAGTCCAACTCTAGAAACCACTCCATTCCCTGACCTCCCAAATAGTAGGTGTTTGCCACTTCGTGTTCCTGTGAGAAAGCGGTTGGTGTTGGTGAGACTTCTAGCTTCTGGCCTTCAGAACACCCACTCCCCTGGCTCCAAGGCCACAGTCCATGATACAATGGGAATTGTAGCAAAGCCATGCGACAGGGAAAAGATCACTATTTGGAGGTGCTAAACTGGGTGGAAAGGGGTAGAGGTGGGGGGTCATGAATGGGCTGGGGTCTGACCCACTTTCCTGGGGTGAGCTGTGTTTGGGGGACATCTACAGGGGCTTCCGGAATATTTCCTCCATTGTCACCCACCTATCTCAGGCACTGAACTCCTCATGAAGGAACATCCCCTTTCTATTCCTCCAGAGGCCTCGCTGCCAGCACTGTGGCTGCCCATTGGGGGATGGCACAATGTCCTGGGGTAAGCTCCCCGATACCCTGTGGAGTACCCACATAGGCCTAGTTGCTTCCCTCCTTCCCAGCTGCTTATTTGACCCCAACCTGGTTTCTCCAGTTCTCCAGTTGACTGACTGTCCCTCCCCCATCACCAAGAACGAGAAGAGACTGGCCTTACCTTACCCAGGTCTGGTTGAACCTTTCTTATCTTTCTGGTCTTCTGTTTCCACACTCCACCCCCCGCTTCTGGCATCCCTTTCCATCTTCCCTTCTGAACCCTACTGCTCACCACCACCTGCCACCACAGGCCTCCCTGTGTACCTGGGGGGCCCAGGGCCCACAGGCGGGCACCATAAGTCTGGTCAGCATCTGGCTCCTGGGCTAGGGGAAACAGTCACAGAGATGGCCTCAGCCGTCTTGTGGAAAGAATTTCCAGCAATGACCAGAGAGGAAAGGAGGCATGAATCCTGAGGGCATCCCTGAGATGGATACCAGGAGGAAGCAGGGACCTGTCTTAGCTTCATAGGACTGACCTTGCAAACTTGGGAGTGGCTCTTGGAATTTCAGGACCTGAAAGCATTAGTGAAATCAGAAAACCTACTTCTGTCTTGCTTCCCTGATTTTAAGGTCTATTACAGTCAAAATATACACACATCATTATCTAATACAATATTTTATATACATTTGCTATGGGAGGAAACTCAGAGGTTGTGAGATCTATCTCCCTGAGAGTTTGTCTGGTTGGTTATGTACTTTTAAATACTTGAGCATTCATCATGTGATATACACGCTCACAGGTTAGCAGAATGTACACAGGGAAGGTGGCTATTTTGCCCTTGGAATACCTTAGGAATCCATAGCTCAGAGATGTGACAAAGCATTTCAAATGTGGTTATCAAAAGTATTCCAGAGGGCTGATGAAACAGCATGAGGGGTGTTTAAAAGAAGTTTTCACAGGTGAAGTAAGTGATGTTCACGATACACTGCTGGTTATCACTGCACTCCAGTCTGGGTGACAGAGTGACACTCCAACTCAAAAAAAAAAGAAACATCTTACAGTCATCATTGCCTCTGCATCCATGAGGCGTAAGATTGTCATGGAAGGGACCAGGACACAGACTGCTCTTTCAGAATGTTGTTGCCTCTACCTCAACCTTTCAAGTGAACTGTGTGTCCAAGAGTCTGAGGACAGAGAGGACTTTTCCAAGCTTACACACTTTGCCAGTGAGTGTGGCTGGCTGGCGGAATTGCCCCTAGACTTGGTTTTGTTGGGATGTCCTGATGGTGAGGTTTGGAGGAGGAGTAGGACCTCTCACTGCTTGAGGCTGCCCATATTTGCCAAAAGAACTGACATTGACTGAGCAACCAAATTGGCTAGGTCAGATCACACATTATTCCCTCAATTTGCAGAGGAGGAGGCTGAGGCCCAGTGCTAAGAGTGGAGCAGAGGCAAGACACCAGCTCTTCTATCTGGAGTTAACTCTTGGTTTTGAACAGTCCATGAATTTGGACCATGTATATTGGCATGTGTCCACCGTTATAGTACTATACAGAGTAGTTTCACTGCCCCCAAATCCTGAGTTCTTCCTGTTCATCCCTCCCTCCCTCTTTAACTCCCGGCAGCCACTGATCCTTTTACTGTCTCCATAGTTTTGCCTTCTCCAGAAGGTCTTGGAGTCGGAATCATACAGTTCCATAACCATTTCAGACTGGATTCTGTCACTTAGTAATATGCTTTCAAGGTTTCTCTATCTTTTCACGGCTCAATAAGTCATTTAAGCCCTTTTAAAAAATATTTAATCCAACGGTCATTGAAATGCTCTACCAAGTTAACATCTCAAAATGCTTACCCTTACTTTCTGAACTTAGTCTTGTCAGGGACCAAGAACAGACAGGTCTGTGGCCCACCCTGGATCAGTGCTGGTCTGGGCTCCCACTCTAGACTGCATCTCCCAGTTTTGTTTGCTCTTGTTCTGTGTGGTAGGCCCTGGGGACACTGACGAAGAGGACTAGGAGGGAGCAGGTGAGGAGACACCCTTTCCTCGGGACCCAGTTTTTAGTCTCCAAGGCTACCTGTGTGCTGAGGCCCGTCCTCACAGAGAGGCCCATTCTCACAGAGAGGCCCGTCCTCACAGAAAGGCCCGTTCTCACAGAGAGGTTCATCCTCAAGAGAGGCCCATCTTCCTAGGGAGGCCCATCCTCACACCTCACAGAGGTTCGTCCTCACAGAGAGGCCTGCCGTGTGAAGGTCCAAGGCTACCACGAGCCCCTCAGGATTAGGAAGAACTGGTAGAGGAAAGAGGGAGCTGCTGCCAAGGCCTCCACCCAGTGAGAGAGAAATTCTGGAAGTAGAACAAAGGAGCCCATCTCCACCTCCCCTCAGGCTGCTGCAGGATGCAAAAGAGAACAATGGAGCAAGGGAGGGCAAGCTCTCGGGACAAGGCCATCTTTGTTTCCATGGTGTTCCTCCTTGAGGTCTCTGCAAGGAAAGCCAAGTCTGGGGCCAAAAGACATCACTTTTCTTCCATTTCTCTCTCTCTGCAGGAGCCTTCGTCTCATCTTCTTCATTCAGCAGGTAGTTATTGAGCTCCAAGGGTATAGGGCAGAAGGCCAGGTGCAGAGGGCAGAATATATAGCAAGAAGAGGGGACACATACAAAAATAACAAACAATAAATGCAATGCTACCTTCCTCTTGGCTTCTGCTGAATTGTGCCCAGGCCCAGGCTGGGAGGAAGAGACAAGAGGCGGTGGCTTTGGAGACCAGTGAGCCTAGGCCTGATGTTATCAGAGGGCTGGTGTGAAGGGATCCCTCATCCCTGACTCTCAGGCAGGTCCTGGACATGGATGCTTCAGGGCGAATGAAGATCTAGCTGTGGACCTGGGCTCAGGGAAGCAGATGGCTTACTATCTTGGGAATTCTTCCAGAAGGGATGGCTGTTGGTGGAGTTTTGCAGTAGGGGAGAGAGGTCAGATTCAACGCTGGAAGCAACAGGTGGAGATTAATAACCACAGGGCGGAGTTGAGGGGTCAGTGGAGAGGGAAATACCAAGAAGGCCTAGGTGATTTTTGGTAAACCAACTCAATAGATTCTTGCTGAAGGAAGGTTAAGGTGAGGAATTTGATCACATAGCAAAGGCAGGGTTTTTTGCTAACCTGACTTGGCAGGAATCTTGCTAAAACTGCACTAAGCAGGCCAGGGATAGAGAGCCCCAGAGGCAGAAAGAGGACTCACAGGAGCCTGACTCGAGTTTGGTCAAGGGGCGAGTCTCTGTCAATCTGAAGAGTGCCTTCTTTTCTGAGTGGGAGCCTCTCACTGCACTGTGTCCCTTGCCTCAGGCTTATCACTGTCTTTAAAAAATGCTCTTTTCATTCCAAGAGCTGGCAGGATCTCTTGTGTTTTGCCCTAACAAAGGAGCTGGAGCCAAAATTCAGGATGAATCATCGTTCCTCTCTGGCAAAGTGGCTGTAGTTTCCAGGTCTGTGGAGGCTTTGCCGGCATCTTTTAGACGCTGTACATGATTTCTGATCCAAAAGGAGCATTTCATAGCGAGGCAGGGCAATGTCTTAGGCAGGAAAGAATTCCAAGCAAGGAGAGTTGCTGAGTTTATTCTGCTTTGGTCATGAGCTCTTTCTCCCACTGGCCCT